TAGTGTACTGTGATACTTCCATGACACTCGTCCTCCTGCCCTGCGAGTGTATTCTGATACTTCCATGACACTCGTCCTCCTGCCCTGCTAGTGTACTGTGATACTTCCATGACACTCGTCCTTCTGCCCTGCGAGTGTACTGTGATACTTCCATGACACTCGTCCTCCTGCCCTGCGAGTGTACTGTGGTACTTACATGACACTCGTCCTCCTGCCCTGCGAGTGTACTGTGATACTTCCACCACACTCGTCCTCCTGCCCTGCGAGTGTACTGTGATACTTCCACCACACTCGTCCTCCTGCCCTGCGAGTGTTCTGTGGTACTTCCACGACACTCGTCCTCCTGCCCTGCGAGTGTACCGTGGTACTTCCACGACACTCGTCCTTCTTCCCTGCAAGTGTACTGTGGTACTTCCATGACACTCGTCCCCCTGCCCTGCGAGTGTACTGTGGTACTTCCATGACACTCGTCCTCCTGCCCTGCGAGTGTACTGTGGTACTTCCACGACACTCGTCCTCCTGCCCTACGAGTGTACTGTGGTACTTCCATGATACTCGTCCTCCTGCCCTGCGAGTGTACTCTGATACTTCCATGACACTCGTCCTCCTGCCCTGCGAGTGTACTGTGGTACTTCCACGACACTCGTCCTCCTGCCCTGCGAGTGTACTTTGATACTTCCATGACACTCGTCCTCCTGCCCTGCGAGTGTACTGTGATACTTCCATGACACTCGTCCCCCTGCCCTGCGAGTGTACTGTGGTACTTCCATGACACTCGTCCTCCTGCCCTGCGAGTGTACTCTGATACTTCCATGACACTCGTCCTCCTGCCCTGCGAGTGTACTGTGGTACTTCCACGACACTCGTCCTCCTGCCCTGCGAGTGTACTTTGATACTTCCATGACACTCGTCCTCCTGCCCTGCGAGTGTACTGTGATACTTCCATGACACTCGTCCCCCTGCCCTGCGAGTGTACTGTGGTACTTCCATGACACTCGTCCTCCTGCCCTGCGAGTGTACTCTGATACTTCCATGACACTCGTCCTCCTGCCCTGCTAGTGTACTGTGATACTTCCATGACACTCGTCCTCCTGCCCTGCGAGTGTACTGTGGTACTTCCACGACACTCGTCCTTCTTCCCTGTGAGTGTACTGTGGTACTTCCATGACACTCGTCCCCCTGCCCTGCGAGTGTACTGTGGTACTTCCACGACACTCGTCCTTCTTCCCTGTGAGTGTACTGTGGTACTTCCATGACACTCGTCCCCCTGCCCTGTGAGTGTACTGTGGTACTTCCACGACACTCGTCCTTCTTCCCTGCGAGTGTACTGTGGTACTTCCACGACACTCGTCCTTCTTCCCTGTGAGTGTACTGTGGTACTTCCATGACACTCGTCCTCCTGCCCTGCGAGTGTGCTGTGGTACTTCCATGACACTCGTCCTCCTGCCCTGCGAGTGTACTGTGTTACTTCCATGACACTCGTCCTCCTGCCCTGCGAGTGTACTGTGGTACTTCCACGACACTCGTCCTCCTGCCCTGCGAGTGTACTGTGGTACTTCCATGACACTCGTCCTCCTGCCCTGCGAGTGTACTGTGTTACTTCCATGACACTCGTCCTCCTGCCCTGCGAGTGTACTGTGGTACTTCCACGACACTCGTCCCCCTGCCCTGCGAGTGTACTGTGATTCTTCCATGACACTCGTCCTCCTGCCCTGCGAGTGTACTGTGGTACTTCCATGACACTCGTCCTCCTGCCCTGCGAGTATACTGTGATACTTCCATGACGCTCGTCTTCCTGCCCTGCGAGTGTACTGTGATACTTCCATGACACTCGTCCTCCTGCCCTGCGAGTGTACTGTGATACTTCCATGACACTCGTCCTCCTGCCCTGCGAGTGTATTCTGATACTTCCATGACACTCGTCCTCCTGCCCTGCTAGTGTACTGTGATACTTCCATGACACTCGTCCTTCTGCCCTGCGAGTGTACTGTGATACTTCCATGACACTCGTCCTCCTGCCCTGCGAGTTTACTGTGGTACTTACATGACACTCGTCCTCCTGCCCTGCGAGTGTACTGTGATACTTCCACCACACTCGTCCTCCTGCCCTGCGAGTGTACTGTGGTACTTCCACGACACTCGTCCTCCTGCCCTGCTAGTGTACTGTGATACTTCCACGATACTCGTCCTCCTGCCCTGCGAGTGCACCGTGGTACTTCCACGACACTCGTCCTTCTTCCCTGCGAGTGTACTGTGGTACTTCCACGACACTCGTCCCCCTGCCCTGCGAGTGTACTGTGGTACTTCCATGACACTCGTCCTCCTGCCCTGCGAGTGTACTGTGGTACTTCCACGATACTCGTCCTCCTGCCCTGCGAGTGTACTGTGGTACTTCCATGACACTCGTCCTCCTGCCCTGCGAGTGTACTTTTGATACTTCCACACACTCGTCCTCCTGCCCTGCGAGTGTACTGTGGTACTTCCACGACACTCGTCCTCCTGCCTGCGAGTGTACTGTGATACTTCCATGACACTCGTCCTCCCGCCCTTTCGAGTGTACTGTGGTACTTCCACGACACTCGTCCTCCTGCCCTGCGAGTGCACCGTGGTACTTCCACGACACTCGTCCTTCTTCCCTGCGAGTGTACTGTGGTACTTCCACGACACTCGTCCCCCTGCCCTGCGAGTGTACTGTGGTACTTCCATGACACTCGTCCTCCTGCCCTGCGAGTGTACTGTGGTACTTCCACGATACTCGTCCTCCTGCCCTGCGAGTGTACTGTGGTACTTCCATGACACTCGTCCTCCTGCCCTGCGAGTGTACTGTGGTACTTCCATGACACTCGTCCTCCTGCCCTGCTAGTGTACTGTGATACTTCCACGATACTCGTCCTCCTGCCCTGCGAGTGCACCGTGGTACTTCCACGACACTCGTCCTTCTTCCCTGCGAGTGTACTGTGGTACTTCCACGACACTCGTCCCCCTGCCCTGCGAGTGTACTGTGGTACTTCCATGACACTCGTCCTCCTGCCCTGCGAGTGTACTGTGGTACTTCCACGATACTCGTCCTCCTGCCCTGCGAGTGTACTGTGGTACTTCCATGACACTCGTCCTCCTGCCCTGCGAGTGTACTGTGATACTTCCACCACACTCGTCCTCCTGCCCTGCGAGTGTACTGTGGTACTTCCACGACACTCGTCCTCCTGCCCTGCGAGTGTACTGTGATACTTCCATGACACTCGTCCTCCTGCCCTGCGAGTGTACTGTGGTACTTCCACGACACTCGTCCTCCTGCCCTGCGAGTGCACCGTGGTACTTCCACGACACTCGTCCTTCTTCCCTGCGAGTGTTTCTGTGGTACTTCCACGACACTCGTCCCCCTGCCCTGCGAGTGTACTGTGGTACTTCCATGACACTCGTCCTCCTGCCCTGCGAGTGTACTGTGGTACTTCCACGATACTCGTCCTCCTGCCCTGCGAGTGTACTGTGGTACTTCCATGACACTCGTCCTCCTGCCCTGCGAGTGTACTGTGGTACTTCCATGACACTCGTCCTCCTTCCCTCAGCCAAACACATATCAAATTCTTAGATGGTTAAAGGAAATGAGCAGTATTATTTTATGCAAATTTTGGCAAATATTAGGCAATATTTCTTAGTTTTCATTGAAAATAAATTCATTTGCATATGTCATTCTTACCCTCCATTAAATTCTTAGATGGTTAAGTAATATTAATCAATGGAGGTAGAATTACCGACAATATGTTAGGTAAAGGGCAGACACATGTACAACTATGTGATATTTTATTGTGGCAATCGTTTCGCTCTCCAGGAGCTTTGTCAAGCGGAACTGACATATATAAATATCAAAATCAGTTTACATGTGTTTTTTACCCAACATGAGTAATGTTGTTATAGGCAAATATAAGCAAAAAATTGGCTACGTTTCCCCGTTTTGGTTTTAAAATAAATAGTAGGCATACCGTAATTTTGTATAACATCTCTTCTGAGTTTTTGACGTCCTCCACAGCTGCCGGACGAACTCGAGCAGAAGCACAACGGCACCTTGCTGCCCGTCATGCTCTTCATCCACGGTGGTGCTTTCATCTCTGGAGACGCTTCCCTCTACACTCCCACCAAACTCCTCGACCGAGATGTCATTCTTGTGGTCATTCACTATCGTCTAGGTTCCTTGGGTGAGCATAACACCAGTGACACGATAGTCATTAACCTAGATAGTTTTTTCGAAGTCCTCCGCTATCTGTTTTTCATTATGTACTTCAGTGTGTTAAGAGGCTGGGTACGAATGGGGGCGAAATCAGAATGTGGATCCATAACAAGAAGAGTTCCATGAGGATCGTCAGCTTTGGGTTACATTAAGAACCTTGATAATAGAATGAAAGCTAAGTAAGTAAACTCGCCGACAACACCAAAATATCTGTGCAGAGCGCTAATCCACTAGTACTAGTGTTTCAGTATTCCATGTTAATTTTAAATCAAGAATATTACATATTCCTAATACTGATCTTTGCAGGACTCTTCTAGTTACACTTTCCCATCCTGACACGTCCTCTTTCATTATGACTTATGTTTCAGTCATAGTCTAAATTTTCAACGTCTTATCTCTCGCAATACCCCGCTGGATGACCTACACGAGCTAGTGTTTCATATAGGGTAAAATTATAAGAGTGCAACCCTTCTCTCTTAACACGCTAAACCCACATGGTTCATACAGCGATTTGGCGATTTGAAGATAAACAGATTCGATCCAAGAGAAGGGCAGCCCCCAATTCCTTGGACCAAGAGCTCTTCAACATCACGAAGGGTGTCCCTTCCTCAAGCTAAAATGTTGACCTGATAATATTTACTGATTTCTAGATAACATATAATTCTTTTTCATATATTCTTTTCTAAGTTTTTTATATGGTAAACTCTGGTTTATGTGGCGTCTGTTTGCATGGTTTATTTGCTCATTATATTTATTTATTTTCGTACGGCAGGTTTCTTCAGCTTGGACAACGATGATGCACCTGGGAACGCTGGCCTCTGGGACCAGATCACAGCCATGCAGTGGGTCAGTTGTTCCCTATATTGTCCTGAAGGAAAAACACTTTATAGATAAATAAATTAATTTATCTTTAGTATACATTGAATTACAATGAATTACAATACTGTACAGAGTTGACAGTGAATATTCAATGTTATTAGGATCGCTAAAAACTACATTGTTATAAAAGGAGAGAGAAAAAAGAGCCTATTGTAAAAGTTATGGACTAACTAGTTGACCAGTTTTTATATCGCCATAGGTCAAGGACAACATTGAAGGCTTCGGTGGTGACAGTTCGAGAGTTACTATATTCGGAGAGAGTGCTGGGTCCGCCTCGGTCAACTATCACCTCATCATTGAGAAAAGTAGAGGTGAGTAGCGATGACCAGGTGGTGCTCGATTCCAGCAGCAAATAAGAACATAAGAAAGAAGGAACACTGCAACAGGCCTACTGACCCATACGGAGCAGGTCTATATGCCCATCCCCCCGGATTAGACCAATGACCCTCCCCCCGGATTAGCCCAATGACCCACCCAGTCTGGTCACCTCCACCAGACCCAGCAGCACAAGCTAGTCAGGTCCAACTCACACCCACCCACACCCACTCATGTATTTATCTAACCTATTTTTAAAACTACACAACGTTTTAGCCTGAATAACTGAACTACTAAATCCTTTTCGCAATCAGTAGTATTAAGACCTACATTATTTAGTTTATATGTGGATACATTGGGTGCGTTTTGTTTACATCTGCTGCTGTACCTAGCGGTAAGTAAGTACCTGGGTGTTAGCCGACTGTTGTGGGTCGCTCTCTGCGGGACAAGATCAAAGGACTCTATTGCAAGTAATCAAAATAATTTTTTCTTCTTCTTCTTCTTCTTCCTCTACTTCTTCTTCATCTTCATCTTTTTCTTCTTCTTTTCTTCATATAGATAAACACAAAAAATAGGATGTGTTGCACATTAATATTATTCAAAGTAAGTAGGTTGGTAGACAGCAACCACCCAGGGAGGTACTACCGTCCTGTGGTAGTAGGTTGGTAGACAGCGACCACCCAGGGAGGTACTACCGTCCTGTGGTAGTAGGTTGGTAGACAGCAACCACCCAGGGAGGTACTACCGTCCTGTGGTAGTAGGTTGGTAGACAGCAACCACCCAGGGAGGTACTACCGTCCTGTGGTAGTAGGTTGGTAGACAGCAACCACCCAGGGAGGTACTACCGTCCTGTGGTAGTAGGTTGGTAGACAGCAACCACCCAGGGAGGTACTACCGTCCTGTGGTAGTAGGTTGGTAGACAGCAACCACCCCGGGAGGTACTACCGTCTGTGGTTTGTAGGTTGGTAGACAGCAACCACCCAGGGAGGTACTACCGTCCTGTGGTAGTAGGTTGGTAGACAGCAACCACCCAGGGAGGTACTACCGTCCTGTGGGAGTAGGTTGGTAGACAGCAACCAACCCGGGAAAGGGATACCCGTCCTGTGGTAGTAGGTTGGTAGACAGCCAACCAACCCCGGGGGGTACTACCGTCCTGTGGTAGTAGGTGGTAGACAGCAACCACCAGGGAGGTACTACCGTCCTGTGGTAGTAGGTTGGGGAGACAGCAACCCCCCAGGGGGGTTTCACCGTCCTGTGGTAGTGGTTTTGGGTAACACAACCCCCCGGGGGTACTCCGTCCTGTGGTAGTGGGTTGGTAGACACAACCCCCAGGGGGGGTATTTCCGTCCTGTGGTAGTAGGTTGGTAGACAGCAACCACCCAGGGGGTACTACCGTCCTGTGGTGTAGGTTGGTAACAGCAACCACCCAGGGAGGTACTCCCGCCCTGTGGTAGTAGGTTGGTAGACAGAAACCACCCAGGGAGGTACTACCGTCCGTGGTAGTAGGTTGGTGAAGCAACCCCCCAGGGAGGTACTCCCGCCTGGGTAGTGGGGTTGGTAGACAGCAACCACCCAGGGGGGTACTACCGTCCGTGGTAGTGGGTTTGGTAACGCAACCACCCAGGGGGTACACCGCCTGGGGTAGTGGGTTGGTAGACGCAACCACCCAGGAGGTATCCCGTCTGGGGTGTGGGTTGGTAACAGAAAACCACCAGGGAGGTACTCCCCTCCTTGGTAGTAGGTTGGTAGCGCAACCCCCCCAGGGAGGAAACCCCGCCTGTGGTAGTGGGTTTGGGTAGCAGCAACTCCCCGGGGGGATCCCGCCCCTGGGGAGTGGGTTTGGGTAACCAACTACCCGGGGGGTACTCCCGTCCTTGGTAGTAGGTTGGTAACAGAACCAACCCAGGGGGGGTACTCCCGCCCTGTGGTATAGGTTGGTGACACAACCCCCGGGGAGGTACCCCCGTCCTGTTAGTGGGTTTGGGTAACAGCAACCCCCCTGGGGGTATACCGTCCTGTGGAGTAGGTTGGTAGACAAAACCACCCGGGTGGTACACCGTCCTGTGGTAGTAGGTTGGTAGACGAAACCCCCCAGGGGGGACTCCCGTCCTGGGGTATATTTTGGTAACGAAACCCACCCGGGGAGGTCTCCCGTCCTGTGGTAGTAGGTTTGGTAGACAGAACCCCCCGGGGAGGACTACCGCCTTGGGGGAGAGGTTGGTAGACAGCAACCCCCCAGGGAGGTACACCGTTCTGTTTAGTGGGTTGGTGAAGAAACCACCGGGGGAGGCTACCGTTCTGTGGTAGTGGGTTGGTAGCAGAACCACCCGGGGAGGTATACCGTTCTTGGTGTGGGTTGGTAGAAGCAACCCCCCAGGGAGGTACTCCGTTCTGGGGTAGTGGTTGGTAGACAGCAACCACCCAGGGAGGTACTCCCGTTCTGTGGTAGTAGGTTGGTGGACAGAAACCACCCAGGGGGGATACCGCCCTTTGGGTAGTAGGTTGGTAGCAGCACCCCCCAGGGAGGAAACCCCGTCCTGTGGTAGCGGGTTGGGTAGACACAACCACCCAGGGAGGTACTCCCGTCCTGTGGGTGGGTTTGGGTAGACCAACCCACCCGGGGAGGTACTACCGCCTGTGGTAGAGGTGGTAGCAGCAACCACCCAGGGGGTACTCCCTTCCTGTGGTAGTGGTTGGTGACGCAACCCCCCAGGGAGGACTACCGCCCCTGGGGTAGTGGGTTGGGGTAGACAGAACCCACCCGGGGAGGTATCCCTCCTGTGGTAGTAGGTTGGAACAGCAACCACCCGGGGAGGTATACCGTCCGTGGTAGTGGTTTGGTAGACAGCAACTACCCAGGGAGGTACTCCCGTCCTGGGTAGTAGGTTGGTAACAGCAACACCCAGGGAGGTATACCGTCCTGTGGTAAGGTTGGTAGACAGAAAACCCCCCGGGGAGGTATCCGTCCTGTGGTAGTAGGTTTGGGACGCAACACCCGGGGAGGTCTCCGTCCTGTGGTAGTAGGGGGTTTACAGAAAACCACCCTGGGGGGCTCCCGTCCTGTGGAGTGGTTGGAAGACAGCAACCCCCCAGGGTGGACTCCCGCCCTGGGTAGAGGTTGGTAACAGCAAAAACCCGGGGGGAGGATACGTCCTGTGGTAGTAGGGGGTAGACAGCAACCCCCCGGGAGGTCACGCCCCTGTGGTGTAGGTTGGAGACAGCAACCCCCCGGGAGGTACTACCGCCTGGGGGTAGTATTTTTGGTAGACAGAACCCCCCAGGGAGTACTCCCGTTCTGTGGTATAGGGGGGTAGACAGCAACCCCCGGGGGTACAACCGTTTTGGTAGTAGGTTGGTGACAGAAACCCCCCGGGGAAAGGTACTACCGTTCTGTGGTATTTTGGTTGGTAGACAGCAACCACCCAGGGGGATACCGTTCTGGGTAAGGTTGGTAGACAGCAACCACCCAGGGGGTTTTCCCGTTTTTTGGTAGTGGTTGGTAAAGCAACCACCAGGGAGGTACTCCGTCTGGGGTTTGTAGGTTGGTAGACGCAACCCCCCGGGAGGACTACCCCCTGTGGTTTTCGGGTTGGTAGACAGCAACCACCCAGGGGGGTATACCGTCCTGGGGGAGTAGGTTGGTAGACAGAACCACCAAGGGAGGTACCCCGTCCTTGGTAGTAGGTTGGTAGACGCAACCACCCGGGGAGGTATACCTCCTGGGGTGTGGTTGGTAGACAGAAAACCCCCCAGGGGGGTTTCTACCGTCCTGTGGTGTGGTTTGGTGACAGCAACCCCCGGGAGGTACTACCGCCCTGCCAAGGAGTAAAAAACAAAAAACTCGTAATTGTTTTACATGATTGTAGGTTTTTGGTGTCTTTTTTTGACTCATGATTGCAAGATTTAAGTAAATCTTGCTATTCTACTTAACAACTGTCAAGCATGTTATCCACCTCTGGGTTCTTCTATTTTCTATTGTTCTTTTTCTTTTTATTTTTCTTTTCTTTATGGGGAATGGACAGAAATTTTTCCTCCGTAAGCCCTGCGTGAGCAAGGGGCTTTTAACCCTTTCTCGTTATTTGTTAAAGTTAAAAAGGAAACTTTCGTTTTTTTTGGGTCAAAAGCAAAAAACTTGGCAGGAGGTTTATCCAACCCCCCGTGAAAAGTAGGGGACCATTGGTACACTAAAGAAAAACCCAAAAGTGTCCACCAGCCATAAGGGGAATTACCAATAGACCCCTGGGTTTTTTTCAAAAGGGGGGCTAGACAAATCTAAAGCCCGTGCGGATCAGCCCGGGGTGTGGGTTTGTCTGCGGCAGCTGAAAGCCTGTTGATCAGGCCCCGATCCACCAGGGGGCCTGGCATGGGCCGGACCGCGGGGGGGTTTACCCCCGGAATACCCTCAAGTAATAGACGGGTTCGGTGGGGAACGACCTTTTTTTGAAAGAAGAAGAATATTATTTTCGGTTTCGCAAACCAAAAGATCCCTCATCAGTCCCTTCATTTTAAAAAAAACAAAAAATAGAAGGTAAAGTGATAATACAAAACTTTTTCACTAAAAAATATCCCTTTTATGCTATGTAACTTCTAACTCTTGTTGTAGCCCCCATCCCAAATTTTTAGGAAGACGCCCCAAATGCAAAAAGGTTAATTTGGGAGTAAGTTCGGGTCTGTGCAGAGCTGCTTCTTGCAGCTTCTCTTATCTAAAAAAACATCCACAGTACTAATTCCCCCTGCATCACAATTTGGTGAGTACCCCCCAACACACACCAACATAACAAGTAACAGTAAAAGGGGACACAGTGGAAGTGAAGAACAGATGAATCACAGGGATGTTGGAAGATTTTCAGCCAAAGTAGTCAGTAAATGGGAAAAGTTTTGGGAAACGATTGTGGAGGCAGGATCCATACATGCTTAAGCAAGGTATGATAAAAACTCACGGTCAAGGAGAGTGACCTAGTAGCGATCATGAAGAGGGGGGCCCGGAGCTCGGACT